TCGGGACAGATTTAATTTTGACATGCTTTTTTTAAACACTAGACACACTCTTGAATCTCTAAACATCTGCTATCAAAAATTTGACTCTGCCTATATACCGAATGCCGTATGGAAGACAAATGATGGCACGAAATGAAAACAAGAAGAAGAAAAATAACTCTAGTAGGTACGTAGAACTGTCTTATTTTAGATTATGGATTCAGTACGAACCAGATCGAGATAGTTTGGATGATTAAAACGGCTATTATACGGTACTTCAATTAGTTTTGCAGCAGCTAATTGTACTAGATTCGGTTCATAGAGAAAGTTTGTTTCAAAATTTCTCTCTAGTTGGAGCTTAATTACAGTTATACAACCATTCAGTCCATTCTAGAACTAGAGACAAATGATCGTAACCAAAACCAGACTTTATATCACAAGATAGAGAACCCACATATGGCTTTGCTGACGTCAGCATTTTTTCCGATCCAACGGTTGAGATTAATCAAGTGTTGTAAATATGTTTATGAATAATATTTGAATATTTAAACAGAGGTTGACCTGATTAGCTAAGAACGAGTCTACAAGGAAGTTAGCACAACCGCAACTGCGAGATTCGCTAGGAATATGCCTAGAACGTGTCCGAGATACGCGGAACTACCCCTTGATACATGGAGCTGGATCGAGGAGCTGAAAATATCTATAAATACAGGCAGTCCGAGCAGATTTCACCAATTTTTCGATCCACGAAAACTTTACACTACCACATCTCACTCGAGATCTCTTTTTATATTCGATTCACATCAATATATTCATATGTTTCTAAAAAGTGTAGATGGATTGGCTTCAATGTGGTTGTATTAGTGATGATTGATGTCATGAGTTTTATTCCCAATTTAACCAATTGCAAGCGCAGAGTAATCATAAAAGCGGAGAAGGGATCTAATCCACACAAGGACCTTGTGTACTACAAATTTCTAAGAATTAAATCAAAAACAAAGATTTTTTGTTTTTTTGTTTTTACTTAACTAATGCAGAAAATTAAACAAGTTAGCACGAAAATTAAGAAAACAAAGGGTTCAAATTTAATAAGAGAAAACGTTAAAAAATAGGTTTATCGCAGATATTCATAAATTAAATTTTAAAGATTTAAAAAAAAAACGTTCTAGAATTTAAATGAGGAAATTGCAAAAATACTATTTTTTATGTGCATGTTTGCAAAAATGTCACGTAGGAGTGTTCATTTGCAAAAATGGCACTAATTATAAATTTTTAAACCCTATATCTCAAAATTCTAAACATTAAAAAATGTTTTGATCCCTAAATTCTCCTAAACCCTCATAACTAAACCCTAATAGAACATAGTTAGCCCAAACATAAATAATATAAAGAAAAAATAATTTTGAAAAAATGGCATTTTTGTAAAGATTTCAAAAGTGTGGCATTTTTGTAAAGTGACATTTGAAAAGTGGCATTTTTTGAAATTTCTCAATTTAAATCACGAAGGTATGATCTTTCATTGTCGTGGCTCCGATCATTATGTTTTGGTAACTTAATAGACTCAACTATCGCGTGTTATTAGAAGTTGAAAATATGCATGAGGTAGTTCAAGATTCAATTGTTCAATAAACTTCTTAACTAAGCTTTCAAACTATTAAGATGTTTATCTCATCAAATACTAATTCAAACAATATAATAAGTTTTTAGAGAGTATTAACCCAAGGTATGATGCCAGCTCATTAGAAAAGCATGCAGCATTACGAATAAGTAAAGATGAAGAACCTATAGATTTTCTCTAATTCATTTGATAAAAGTAAGCAATTCATGAACTCTTTGAAATCGTACAACCTAACAAATAAAACTACTCAAAGATCATAACAAACAACAATCAAAGAGATAAATAAGTAATCATATTCATTGAAACAAGTAGAAACAAGAAGGGTTTAGAATTCATCTCTTTATCGAAGATATAAAAGTTGGATCTTCTCCCTTGAATCCAAAATATCAGTTAATAATCTATAAAAAAACGTAGCTGCTATTTATTGTATAGTAAAAGGGTGAATTTCGTGGTGGCTTATACCTAAAATGAGGCTAAAAATAAGTTTGTATAAATCTAAGGTTAACTGTAGGGAAAAAGAATCCCATTTTTGGTCGAACCTGCTCAAATATCGATCACGATCTCGGCCAAAGAATCCGACCAGTATTTGAGGTTTCTTGTAGTGTCCTCGTATCAGTCATGATACCGGTTCACATTCTAGTCTGGTATTTGGCTCGTTTCTGGACTACTTCATCTTCGAGGCAGATTGACATGGATTCAGTAAATCTCGATTGCGTTGACATTTAGCCTACCCAATAATCAGTTGCTACCTAATGCAAATACTTTTTTTTTTTAACAAAATTTTCATTGGTTTTTATAAAAAAAGAAAAAAACTTCATGAATTGACCCAGCCCGTAGATATCCAACACAAGGCCTACAACATGACATGTCACTTTCTCATTGGCTGAATTGCGTGGACGTCTTATCGGAGCAAAATCCAAAGCCAGCGGACCTTCATCGTCTTCTTCCCCTCCCCCTCCCCCTCCGATGCTATTTGCATCAAAATCTCAGGTTCTTGGCAAAGGAAATATGAAATTCACGGCAATCTTGTTCTGTCTGGTAATAGTTGCTCTGTCTTCAAGCTCCCATGTCTGGTCCGATCAGATCTTTCCAGCTCATCTAGGTCTTCTCTCTCTCCTCCTTACCTTTACTCGATCATCGCTTAAATTTCCAAATCGAATCTTCAAATTTTCTCTAAACGAGATCTTGTCTGCATCATCATTAACCTGTCAATGCTTTGTAAACAGTTGGAACATTCAGTCGGAACAATCGTGAACCAAAGTACAAGATTGAGTTCCTTACCGAAGATGCACCCTTTCACCCGGTAATTTACTCTCCATTTGATGCTCAATGGATGAACATAGATTCTGTATCTGATCTGAATGTTTTGTTTCCTGGTGAGTTTATTTTGTCTAATTTTTGTGGGTTTTATAGGTAGATAATCTTGAATCTATGGTTATGCTTGATAAGAATGGGCGTCGATATTTATGTTTCTTACCAAAAGAGGAAAAAGCGACGAGCGGATGGACTTCTAATCAGCAAAATGTTAGCAGTGTGATGATGGAAGCTGAGAAACTTGTGAAGCTCAAGACTCCAGATGAGCTGCTTCTACCTAGTGAAACATGCCTTGTTAGGGTAAGGACTTGTTTGGTTTTCTTTTGACTGTTTAAGAAACAACCGAAACCAAATCGATTTTTTTTTCTTGCTGCTGAAAACTAATCCCTACAGCAAGAGGGTTGGTGGTCCTATGAGTTTTGTCATCTGAAGACTGTGCGGCAGCTACACGTTGAGGGTGATAAGGTATGCTTACTCTTTGTGATTTCTGATTCTCTCTGTTTTATCAAATGTGCCCTTGTTTTGCTCTAGTTTCATTGTACATCCACTGTCTACTTGCAATCCGCTCGATGAATACCATTGTATCCTGCCTCTGCAGATTGTCCAAGATTTTTACTTGGGTATGTTTGACCCGGAAGCAACTGCTGTTTTTAATCAAACTGTATCTGATGCTTCTACAACTGATGCATCACAGAGGTATAAGCTAAAGGTTTTACATTACCTTTATAGCAAAAGCCTGTATCTCTGTTGATTTTGTTATGGTGTTGTTTCAGGTATTACTCTCATGTATACACCAATGGGACCACTTGTGATCTTACAGGAAACCCTCGAGAAGTCGAGGTATGTATAATCTGATTTCTGGGTTGATTTTGGATCATGGCATTACAATTTATTATTCTTGAAATTTATAAATGCAGGTGAGGTTTGTATGCGCTGAAACCAGGGCGATGGTCACTTCAATCACAGAGCTTTCCACTTGCAAGTACGCACTCACTGTTCAGTGCCCCACCTTGTGCAAGCATCCGTAAGCATTCTCATTTACTTGAAAGCCCATTTTCAAAATGAATTTCTTCAAAGCTACGTTAAAACAGCGCATCGTAATGGAGATACTAACGCAAAGTTTATGTTTGTTCTCGTGTGGTTATTAGTAATTACCAAAGACAAAAATAATATGAAAAGAGGTTCCAAAATGGGGGACATGACATGATGTTTAGTGTAAAAACCAGTCACCCCGCATCGAATCCCTTGGTTTGTTAATTTTGTTGTTGCTTGGGCATTGCAGGCTGTTTCAGCTAGAGAAACCAGTGTCACACACGATCCACTGCAATGTAATCCCAGTG